GTTTGACTCCCTCTTCTTTGGGGCAGCCCCTGAGATATTGGAACACTGCTATCATGTCTCCCCTAGTCTTTCTTTTCATTAAGTATTACCCAATTTAGAGTTACTCCATAAACTGCAATTTATCACCTACCTTGGTGAATGGAGTTACATCCTCATGCTCAGATATACCAAGCAAAGTTAGGGAGACCACAGTATTAATCAATTAATTTGTTCTCACCAATCTTGCCTTAGATCTCTCCTGGCAACACACAATTGTTACACGCAGTCCAGTTCCAAGCTGGGAGAAAGGCACTAGAAATAAAATGGAGACTGATTGGAAAGAAGGACTCTGTTTATTGATGAGCCGACAACGACATGCAGTTCTGGGACAACTGACAAATTGGTTTGATGAGTACATGGATTTTTATAGAGATTTGAAATCCTGCAGGGCCTTGTGCAAAGATGCTGCAGGGGGATGTGAGTGTGAGGTTGTAAGTGTGAGAATTGTGCCTTTTGCTATTCTAATGCTGGTGGGTCAATCCTACTATGTCCTAAAAGTCCTGTCCTGTCTTTAGTAATCCCATCAGTGTTTTTGTTTGTGAATAGATTGGCCCAATCTTTCTTAATAGGCACAAAATATCCATTTCTAAAGACTTCAGGCACCTGCTGAAGGCTGTTTCACTATGCAGGAAGACTGGGGGTGCTTTCTGCCTTTAAGAGCATGTTTCTCCATTTCTCCTTTGGGGAAATATAATATTCTGTCTCTTTTAATATTCCCCAAATAATATTATTTGGAGGGGGGCTTCCTACAGTATCTTAATATTTATACATGTGATAACTACCCATTAAAAATGCAATCATTGTTTTAAATCCATTGACATAGGTGCTTTTATTACAGCCTCATCAAGACACACATTTTTTATTTAACAACTCCTTTGAACTCACTAGACTTGTCATACAAAGTATCCACAAACATTACTTATAGGAGACAATTGGCGTTGTTGAAACAATGAAAAACAAAGCTTGAAGAGAGGGTGGACTCTCTTGTTAGCAGTTGGTAAACAGAGACTGGCTTCCGGTTGGGGTTGTTAGGCTGATAGGGGTCACCTCCCTGCATATTGGCACCACGTGTCTTAAGACTTACCAGCCTGCCTGCTAAATGTTTACAAAGCAAACAGATGGGGATTGTAATTTGAAAACTCCCCCTCTTTGAAAAAGAGACAGGATATTACATTTACCCAAAGGAGAAATGGAGAAACATGCTCTTAAAGGTAGAAAGCACCCCCAGTCTTCCTGCATAGTGAAACAGCCTCCAGCAGGTGCTTGAAGTCTTTAGAGGTGGTTTCTTCAGAGCCAGATTTAACATTCTTCCTTCACACTCCTCCAGGGCAGGTATAAGAGAACACCTATTGCAGAACGGGTT